AAAGAGGTTAGTATAAAGCATAGTAGCTTAGCTGTTATCATTACTAGTTTAGTTTATCAATGTAACTTCAGGGCAAAGTAAAATTGATTTTTTTTTCATTGCTATAAAAGCTATTTAATTGTCCCTTTGTCCCCCAAATTATGATTCCCCTTCAGTGTGTTTTCTAAATTTTGGAAATCTGATTGTATCATTTCTCTACACAAAGTCTTATGCATTTGGGATAAATACCAGTTCCTTGCTTAGCATAAAATACTTATTTGTTTTTTGTTAAGTTTAGCTTCCTTTTTCTCTACTGTCCTCCAATTTTAAGCTGTAGTCAAAAAAAAAAAGTAAGCTGTAGTCATACTGAGTATGGTTTTCCCCCAACATAACTCATTTCCCTTTACATCAGGGCTCTATTGGTACAGTTCTCTTTACCTATTACTATATCCTCTGCTTAGTAACCTGGAATGATCCCTTAAGGAAGTTCCTGAATGACTTTTCAGAAAGTGTTTCCTGATTATCACTATCATGCCTACTTCCAGATAAGGTTAGGTCCCTTTCCTCTGTATATTCTTGTAGTACTCAGTATATATACTGTATTTGCTTGGATGCCTGGGAGGTTTTTGAGAATAGGAATTATTTTTATTCATGGATTTATATCCCTAGTGTTTGACAGCTGATGGTGTTGTTTAACCAAATACTTGTTGATTTAATGAGTAATGAAATGTAAAGAACTTTGCAGGCTATTAAAGCTTAGAGAAACATAGACCATCTTACATTCCACAGCCCATCCTTCCAAGCAATGCCTTAGGCATATTTTTTTTAATTAATTGGTAATGTGAGTTCTACCCTTTGGTGAGATTGACCTTTACCTGTGACCTGGTATTTGGTTTAGTTTTTGGCAACCGTATGACTTTGAGGTAAATTTTAAAAAAATATTGTTTATGGGCAGCCCGGTGGCTCAGCGGTTTAGCGCCACCTTCAGCCCAGGGCCTGATCCTGGAGACCCCAGGTCGAGTCCCACATCGGGCTCCCTGCATGGAGCCTGCTTCTCCCTCTGCCTGTTTCTCTGCCTCTCTCTCTCTCTCTCGTGTCTCTCATGAATAAATAAAATCTTTTTAAAAAATATTGTTTATTTATTTAAGAGAGAGAGAGAGCACGCACGTACACATAGAGCCAGTGAGCAGATGAGTTGGGGGCGGGGAGAGGGAGAAGCAGGCTTCCCACTGAGCAGGGAGCCTGATGCAGGGCTCCATCCCAGGACCCTAAGATCATGACCTGAGCTAAAGGCACATGCTTAACAGACTGAGCCACCCAGGTGCCCTGAGGTAATTTCTTATAGGATGTAGAATTATTCCCTGACTCTTTCTGCCTGAAGCCTTTGGCTCCTTTTTGGGCTGTCTACATAAAGTTAAAAAGTTAAAATGTTTTACCTTTATTTAGTTTCTAAGTTTACAGTACACCTTCACATCTACCATCTAATATAAATGAAGAGACAAATCTATGGTAGAATAAAGTATTATTTTTTACACTCATCATTTCAAATGGAGGGAACATGTAGTTTTTAAAAGGCAGAACTGCATAGCAATGCTCCCAACCTTAGGGCTGAAGAGTTCAATTAAAAAAGATGAAATGAGTCAATATGAGAATGGTAAGATAGATGCTGCTCTTTTGGAAAGAGGAAAAAAATAATGAAGGATGAATTTCTTCAGAACAAAGGAAGCCATGGAAGATAACAGCTCTATAAAGCAATGCCTTTCCACCTTCTCACTGATTTTTGTATGTATCATGTAAGACATATTCAATCAATATTTGGTTTCGGAAATGTTATGAAATAAGCAATTTTCACTTATAATTACTATAGCAGAGAGGGTGAGTATAAGGTAGTTGCGGTCAGACAGACTGGAGTTGAGTACCATTTCCATAATGTGTAAAATTGTGATTTGGGGCTAATTACTAAACTTTATTGAAGGTCTGGGCTTTTTGTCTATGAAGTTGAATTAATAAAACCTCATGAAAGTGTTTTGAATAGGTGACGAAAGAAAAGATTGATGATAAACATTAAGGTACTTGGTATATGATGAGAAACTTATAAAGATGTTTTTTTTTTTTTAAAAGATTTTCTTCATTTATTCATGAGAGACAGAGAGAGAGAGAGAGACAGAGAGAGACAGAGAGAGTAAGAGGCAGGGACACAGGCAGAGGGAGAAGCGCAAGGATCCCGATGTGAGACTCGATCGCGGGGCTCCAGGATCAGGCCCTGGGCTGAAGGCAGGCGCCAAACCACTGAGCCACTCAGGGATCCTCATAAAGATGTTTCTTATAGAATTTTATCTGACATAATGCTAGACTAACGTTCAAACACAGAACATTCAGTCATATACACACCCTTCCTACCACCTGCAAAATAGGAAAAGCATATTCTGTGATTCTCTGCAGGTTAATGTATGGGGAATTTAGGTATTTAAATTTATGTATTAAAATATAATAAGTTAGATATTCATGTTTGTGGGCATGTGTGACAGTGAATGTCACTAGCTTCTTGCTCTTTGCCAAATCCTTTGCTGTGCATTTTTCATACATTATTTTCCCACATAACCACTCTGTATCACAAATTAAAAGCTAAACAAACAAACAAAATCAACCCTGCAGCTTAGAAAGCCTAATGATCACATAAGTAATGAATTGTAAACCAATATTTAATCCATAGTTCTCTCTTATCTTTATATTCCCATCAGGGGCTCTCACATCCCTGGGGACCTTGAACATGTTTTGAGATTGATGAGTTTACCATGCTGATGTTTTGATTTTGTATTTTCTTTTCATTGACAGTCTAAAACACACATGTACGTATTTTGGGTCATCTGGGTGAAATCCTGTAACTAGCATATTTATCCGTATTCATTTTGTGTTATGATCTAATTGTTACCAAATATTACTGATATAATTGCAATGGACCAATAAGAAAAGAAAGTGGCTTTTATTTCAGGCAAAGTTTAAATGATGTTATGATGCACTGTAGGAAGCAAACTTGTCTTTAACCACTTTGACAAACAAAAGTTTGGGGACGATTTAATCTTCTTATTACTCAGAAGCACTTGGACCATAGTAGTAAGTACCATACATATACTGTGAGTAGTGATTTGCCTGCATATTAAATCAATATTGGCAATTTGAATTTCACTGTATATTTTAGCTTTTCTTATATTTAATCTGTAACTCTAGAGTTAATATTTTTGAATTTTAAGTATTATAATTTATGAACAGAGAATCTAGAAAATATTTCCCTTTACATGTATGCTATAATATACCTGTAGTCCAGGTGCAGACATGGGGATGAAGCAGTTCGGTTCAGGGGAGTGTTAGAAAACTTTGCCAAATGCTGCCATTTGAACTTCTCTTTGAAGGATGACTACTTATATGCTAGGCAGAGAGAGACATGTGAAGAGGCACAAACAAAAACACCCCAAAACAAAAATCTTAGTGCAAAAGGGAGTAGAGGGCAGCCCGGGTGGTTCAGCGGTTTAGCGCCGCCTTCAGTCTAGGGCATGATCCCGGAGGCCCAGGATCGAGTCCCGCGTCGGGCTCCCTGCGTGGAGCCTGCTTCTCCCTCTGCCTGTGTCTCTGCCCCCCCCCCTCTGTGCCTATCATAAATAAAAAAAAATTTTAAAAAAACTATGACGAGATACTATTTATATCTATCAGGTTGTTAATATTGAAAGTCAGAGAGTACCAAGTGTCACTCATTTCCTAGAAGTGTAACAGATATTGCTGTGTACTATAGTGAAAATACAAGTTAATACAATTTTTTTGGAAAATAGTGAATTGGAAGGTATACTTATTGTATGGCCTAGCATTTCAGTGTCTGGGCCCATGCCTTGGAGAAACTCTTGCATAGATCTATCAGAGTATATCTAGCAGCATTGTATATAATAGTAAGAAAAACGAACTGCACTGGTCATTACTTTGGGAATGGGTTGAAACAATTTTTTTATATTTATACTTTAGTGAAAATTGAGGGGATTGAAAAAACTTCATTAACACTCATTGTTTAGTGTGAATCTCAAGACATGTATGGAAAAGAAAAAATCATTTCTTAATAAACTGCATATGAATTTCAAAGTATGCAAAATAAGTGAAATATCCTTTATATGTAGCATACTATAATAAAAGCAAAGGGATTTTTAAACACATCATTTAGAATATAGTCATCCTTATTTTAGTATGGAGGTAGTGGAATATAATTGGGAACTTCTGAATTAGGTAAGATGTTCTGTTGCTTAAGCTAGGTTCCCAGATTGTTATATCATTCTTTTCTTTTTTTAAGATTTATTGATTGATTTATTTGGGAGCAAGAGACTGGGTGAGCATGTAGAGGGAGAGGGAGAAGCAGACTCCCCATTGAGCAGGGATCGCAGGACCCTGAGATCATGACCTGAGCTGAAGGCAGATGCTTAACCGAATGAGCCACCCATGTGGCACCCTCTCTTAAAAAAAAAAAAAAAAGATTTATTTGTTTATTTATGAGCATGCGAGTACACCGAAAAATAGAAGCAGACTATATCATTATTTTCATATTCATATATATCATTTATAGTCTTTTGAAAGTTTGAAATATTTAATAATAGTAAAATTAGAGTTAGGTTTCCAAACTTTTCTTAATCAGCTGATCTACTGTTTCATAGCATTGATGCCAGTACTAGACTTTTCCTATTTCCAACATAAATCTCTGAACTGATTTCTCCTGTCATTTCAGACTATCCCATGCCTTTCTTTTGTTTTATGGTTTTGTGCTTCGTAAAGTACATGCTTAAACATAGTTTCTGAACATCATTGTTACCAATTTGCTACCCTTGGTAGGAAAGAATTTTGAATTATTAGAAAAATCTTGCAGCAAGACTTCTTTGTTGGTTTTCAGCTGTTCCTTGGTGTCAGCGGTATAAATTTGTAAATGAAAATATTCTTCTCTGTGCATATATATATGTGAAAAGCTTTGCTTTTCTCACTTTTATCAATAGGCAAGTGAAGGACCAGAATAAGAAGGTAGCGAATCTGAAGCACAAGGAACAGGTGGAAAAGAAGAAGAGTGCACAGATGCTTGAGGAGGCTCGACGAAGGGAGGACAATCTCAATGACAGCTCCCAACAACTACAGGTTAGAACTCGAGGACAGTCTGAAAAGATCGGGTGAAGAGATTTGATCCGTAATTGCATGTTGTTTTCCTCTTCATCTTTATCCTCCTCTTTTTTCTCTTTCTAACCCTGCTTGCTGCCTTCCTCTGAGACCAACTGGTTAGCAATAAAGGAATGGCTTTAAATAGAAAGGGCAAGTTTTATTCCACAGCTTTGTGAGGACACCTCAGCATAGGAGAAAGTTCATCTTGCTTCAAGTTGATCACATTCCATTGGTAAGTTTAATGTCAGTTTAATGAGTGGGTTCTTTTAAGTTCCAGGGGGTCGGTGTTACTGTTTGCCATTTAACTTCATCAAACTGCATTGCTAAACTTGGTTCGTATCTATTTAACTTCATTCTGTGTGTTTCATTCTTCTTTTGCCCTTTCCCCTGCCTTTTCCTTTTTGCCCTCCTTCTTTCTTTCCCTTCTTTTTAAATATTCAATTCAGAGAGCATATTTCATGGTCTTATATGATGTATAAACTCTTTTTCACTTCAGTGGTGTGATAATTGATGTGTAACCCTAACTATTCACAAATTAGGTGAAACTAGACTCCATAACAATAGGAGTAGTGACGGTATGATAAGTGACCATATGTGCTCAATACTTTTGGCCGTAGGCCCTGGTAATTCATTGTTTCTAACCTTTACATTGCTCTTGTGGAGCAGATGGTTTTGTGCACATTTTATAGATAAGGAAATAGACCCAGAGAAATTGAATTATTTACCTAAATGCACACAGTTTTTCTTTCTTTCTTTCTTTCTTTCTTTCTTTCTTTCTTTCTTTCTTTCTTTCTTTCTTTCTTTCTTTCTTTCTTTCTTTCTTTCTCTTTCTTTCTTTCTTTCTTTCTTTCTTTCTTTCTTTCTTTCTTTCTTTCTTTCTTTCTTCCTTCCTTCCTTCCTTCCTTCCTTCCTTCCTTCCTTCCTTCCTTTCCTTCCTTCTTCTTTTCTCTTTCTTTCTTCTTTCTTTCTTTCTTTCTTTCTTTCTTTCTTTCTTTCTTTCTTTCTTTCTTCTTTCTTTCTTTCTTTCTTTCTTTCTTTCTTTCTTTCTTTCTTTCTTTCTTTCTTTCTTTCTTTCTTTCCTTTCTTTCCTTTCTTTCCTTTCTTTTTTTTTTTTCCACACAGTTTTCTGTGTGGCTCAGCCATGATTTTAACTGAGACTTTCTGGATCTCTAGCCTGTCAGAATGAAGGTTTAAATTTTAAAGAAGAATATCATAAGAAATATTAGAAATAATATTGATATGTATATAAGAAATATATATATATACATGGGGTTATTATACATGCTTGTATTTCCTAAATGTCCATTAAGAAGGCTTAGAAGCAGTAAGCATAACTAACACCCAGATTTTGGTTTCTATGCACCTGTCTCCAGTGAAATGGACTAAGGCATCTTAGAGAAGTGGTTGATTCCAGGGCTGGGGCATGGAAAATACAGTGATAACCTTGTGGTTCCAGAAAATGGGAAAGTGCTCAACAAAAGAATGGGGGCTTGTGGAAAGCACAGAGGAGCCAACCTAAAGGAGCACCTGATGTCTCATGCTAAAACAATTGGAGTAAAAAAATAAATAATATTTTAATTTAATCCATAGAATGAAATAAATATTCATGAGTCCATACTGATATAAATAATCAAATGTATTGGTAAGGACAGCTTTTTCCTGAAGAAGATTTCTAATTAATAAGTATAGAAGGAAGTAGATATTATTTTATTTTTATTTTTTTAAGATTTTATTTATTTATTCACAATAGACAGAGAGAGAGAGAGAGAGAGAGAGAGAGAGAGAGAGAGGGGCAGAGATACAGGCAGAGGGAGAAGCAGGCTCCATGCCAGGAGCCTGATGTGGAATTCAAACCCGGGGCTCCAAGATCATGCCCTCGGCCAAAGGCAGGCGCCAAACCGCTGAGCCACCCAGGGATCCCCAGGAAGTAGATTTTAAATAATCACCATGAAACAAACAACTCAATAATAATTGTTATAGACCAGATAGTTGTGAAAGTTAGTTAACTTTTGAGAAATAATAAGGCAGACATAGTCTCAGAATATATATACCTTGAGATGTTTACTTATTATAAAGGGAAGAATGTAACTGTTCAATGCATAGACCTAGCAGACACCACCTTGATAAAATGAAGGTTGTAACATTACCAGTAGTATGAGATACTGAGGATACAATATCATTTTTGTGTTGCTTTTTTCTTCAAAATGTATAATCTTATTCCAGTCATCAGAAAATATCAGACAAATCCAAATTCTGGGACATTTTATAAAATAACTGCAGTATATTATATAAAGTAAAATATACTTTAAAAGTATAAAAAAAGTATACTTTATACATTTTATAAAATAACTGCAGTGTATTATATAAAGTATACTTTAAAAGTATCAAGATCGTGAAAGACAAAGACTGAACACTGTTATAGGTGGATTGGCAAGAACTTAGAAGAAATGTTAACTAAATGAAATGTGAGATCCTGCATTGAATCCTGGAACAGATATAAGACATTAGGGAAAAGCTGTTGAAATTAGAATAAGTAATTTTGGGGACTTGAGTTTAAAAATCATACGGAAGTCCATAAGAATCAGTGATAACATCTGGAAGTAAAATACTGACAGAAGAACATTAGAGTTAGAGTTGAGCCTGTAGAGATGGGGTTGGGTAGAAGGTGGTGTTTGAAAAGAAACTAAAATGGAAAGATCATTTGAGGGGTGGGAGAGAAAAAGGAGAGTGTGGCATTATAGAAGGCAAGAGAGAAGATTGTCTTCAGAGAAGGGGAGGAAGTACATCATATTAGCGGTGCTGAGAGGCTGAGAAAGAGGACAGCATAGAGATGAGTGATGTGATCCATTGTATTTAGAATGGTCAAGAAAGAGCAGTGATCTCCCTGGGTTAAGGTGGATAGATGTCTTCCATTATACCTTATTGACTTTGGAGATGGTTAATCCTGTATTGTTGCAGACCCTTGCCTTGGCCAATTTTTCTGTCACACACTTATCAAAATTCACTGCCTTTATAACAAAGTCTTTGTAATGCTTTTCTTAGGCATATATTTGAGTAATATTAAGACTTGATTATACAGTGGTTATTTAAAGTGTTTCAAGCATGATCCATACATCTAAACTATTTTACAATTCTACTTGATATTCATGAATTTGGACATGAATGACAAAAACAGTGAGGCACATTGGTGATGAGCCTTTCCTGTTATCATTTTTTTTAATTATAGTGCCTCTTCTCTTGATATTCAGCATTTAATTTTGCTGAACTTTCTGTTTTCCTTACTCAAGAACTTAATTCTGTATTAAATTTAGTTCTGAATTGTTTCATTAATATTTTTTGTAAGCCATATTTTATTTTAATTGGCTAATAATATTTCAGGATAATCTGTAGCTGTCTTCAGTAAACATGTATTGAGTGCCTATTATGGAACAGTCACTAGGCTGAGTACTGGGATATGCTGGATATGTCCAAAAGGGTGTTGTTATTGTGCAATTCATAAGTAATTGCTGTATAAAAAACTGAAATTAGGCAAATCCCAGCAATAAGGACCTCCTAAATAAATGGTATATGAAAGCATAATCTTAGCTTATTTGACTGATGGTGAAGGTGCAATTAGAAAAGCTCTCTGTTGAAAGCCTGCCCATCTTCCAAAATTCAGATCAAATGCTCCCTTCCCTCCCTTGTGCAGCATGCCTGAATCCTCACAGTTGGAATTAATCAGCCCGTTTTAATTCCATTAGACTTTGTTTCTGCTTTAAAAATTTCAGAGCTGGGCAGCCCTGGTGGCTCAGCAGTTTAGCACTGCCTTCGGCCCAGGGCGTGATCCTGGAGCCCCGGGATCGAGTCCCACGTCGGGCTCCCTGCATGGAGCCTGCTTCTCCCTCTGCCTGTGTCTCTGCCTCTCTCTCTCTCTCTCTCTCTCTCTCTCTCTCTCTCTCTCTCTCTCTCTGTGCCTCTCATGAATAAATAAATAAAATCTTCAAAAAAATTTTTTCAGAGCTTATTTTCTCTTGCTTTGTATTATATACTCATAATTTGTGTGTTGTTTCCCCCACATATTTGAATTTTTGAACCAGGTCTTGGTATATGGTACATAGTTGGTTCTCTCTAAAAGTGTTTATTTATTTCAGTGGCATTTCAGTAGATGTCCAGAACTCTCATTCACAAGCATTTTAGCATGGCCTTTGGAGTCTTTCATCAGCCAAACCTTTAAGTATTTCTAACCTCATCTTTAGGTGAGATACTTACTTAGCATAGCTACTATATTCTAGAGAAGTTGATAGTGTTGGTGTTTCTTAAATATAGTAAATTGATTTTCTGATCTATGATCTTTTTCTTACACAGGATCTTTTTTCTTTGGATGTCTATTATTACCACCTAAAGATTCTGGCTTAAAATTAGCCTTTGCTGTTGATCTCTATACCCTGTTTTGTTATTGTCTTATCCCTGTTCCTCGGCCTGTATGTTTAATTATACTTTATTGTTTTCTGCTTTTTAATATATTATTTTATTATTGAGCCTGTGTGATTTAATCACTTTCCCTTCTCAACCAGTTTATATCTGCCTTAGATTAAGGCCTGTTTTAAACATTTCAGAGATATTGAAATACTGTTTTACATAGGTAGCCGTTCATTAAGTGTAGCTAAAAATCATTGTTATAAGTAATAAAATAAAATTTAAAGGTTTAGTTACAAATTTAAAAAAATCTTTGCCTGATGCTACATTTAGCATTCTAATATTCTCTAAAATTTTACAGGTTACCCTTTAAGGAGTTTGCATATTTTAACAAAGAAAATGTCAGGTCTTCAGTTAGCTGAGAATATTTACCTTACATATTTTTATTCTTTAAGCAGTAACACTCACTTTGTCTTTGGATGAAACTATAAGTTTTAGTCATATTCTAATAAGACAAAGTAGACTGAAGGTTGGTGGGGGAGGAACCTCATATCAACAGTGGTTTGGTGCTTTGTTTTTATTTA